GCCCTACTCCTTTGAGCCACAGGTGCCACCCCTAAACAAATTTTTTGTAGAGGCTCAGCGCCTGTAGCATAGTGGTTACAGCGCCAGCCACATACACTAAGGCTAGAGGGTTCGAGCCTAGCCTGGGCCTAGTAAACAACAACAACTGCAACAAAAAATAGCTGGGCATTGTGGCGGGCACCTGTAGTCCCAGCTACTTGGGAGGCTGAGGCAAGAGAATCTCTTAAGCCTGAAAGTTGGAGGTTGCTGTGAGCTGTGATGCCACGGCACTCTATCAAGGGTGACAAAGTGACTGTCTTTAAAAGATAAAATAGATCAATTTAGTTATTATATTTTTCTTTTTCTTTTGAGACAGAGTCTCACTATGTTACCCTCAAAGTGCTGTGGCATCACAGCTCACAACAACCTCAAACTCTTGGGCTTAAGTGATTCTCTTGCTTCAGCCTCCCAAGTAGCTGGGACTAAAGGTGCCCACCACAATGCCTAGCTATTTTTGTTGTTGTTGTTGTTGTAGTTGTCATTGTTTGGCAGGCCCAGGCAGAGTTTGAACCCACCAGCCCTGGTGTATGTGGCCAGCGCCCCAGCTGCTGAGCTGCAGGCACTGAGCCTATTTATTATATTTTTCACTTAACATGCTTGGTATGTAAACTAGGATCAATTTTGATGCTGATGAGAGCTATGAAGATAAGTATAGTACCCTAGAAGTGCATTAATGTATACAGTTACTATTCAATAAAAAAAAGATAAGTATAAAGAAACTTAAACAAAGTTACAATCATGAAAGTACCTAGGCAGGGGTCAGGGGACAGTTAATCAAAGAGGTAACATCTAAATTAATGCGAAAGAGCTACTTGAATATGTGAGAGGGAAATATTCCAGGCAGAGGAAACAGCAAATAGTAAGGCCAGAATGAGGTTAGTGTGACCAAGACATAGAAACAAGACTGGGTAAGGTAGCTGGGAGGTTGAAGTAGGAGAATCTCTTGAGCTCAGGAGTTTGAGATTAACCTCAGCAACAGTGAGACCCCATCTCTACTAAAAATAGAAAAATTAGCGGGGTATTGTGGTAGGTGCCTTTAGTTCCAGCTACAGGGGGAGGCGAAAGCAGGACGATCACTTGAGCTCAGGAGTTTGAGGTTGCTGTGGGTTATGCCATGGTACTATAGCCTGGGCAACAGAGCAAGACTCTGTCTCAAAAAAAAAAGAAGAAAAGACACAGAAACAAGGTTCAATACTTAGGAGTTATCCTTAACTCCATTTCTCATTGTCTTCCATAAGGATTTAGTCCTTAGCTTCTCTATTTTTGATTTTCTAAATATTTCTCATCTGTTCCCCTCTCTTCATTCCCTTGGAATGAGGACCTAACCTAAGGCAGGGACACTTAAGAAGTTTCCCCTCCCATTTCCTCTCCCATTACATTCTACATACTGCCACTAGAGGGACCTAGCGGCTCTACAGGAAGGTGACACTAGATTCTGCACTGGAGGCTCTACAGCTGCTGAACTGTCAACACCTCCTAAACCAGCGGTTCTCAACCTGTGGGTTGCCACCCCTTTGTAATACTGAAAATATATCACGGCATTGGGAAGGTTGAGAGCCACTGCCCTAAACCCTTCTGCAGCTATCTACCATTTACAGATAAAGCCCAGACTCCCTGGGGGTCACAGAAGACCCTCCATGTCAAAGGGCCTTCACCTCTAGGCTCCCACCCTCTTCTCCATACAGCCTCTTGGTAACTACAGCTTGATGATAACAGCAAATGCAGAACCTTCTATGTTCTTCTAAGAGCCTTATCAGGTACTAACTCACTTAATCCTCACAACTATCCTACCACAAAAACACTATTGTTAGCCCATTATATAGATGAGAAAACTAGGCTCAGAGATGTTAAAATAAATTGCTTGTAATGCTTGTTGGAGCTGCCCCTGCTCTCACTCCTGTGCTCTGCTGCAGTCCCCAGAATGTTCTTCTCCCTCTTAGACTGACATCCCACCAACCTTCTCTGTCTGTTTAACTCACCTTTAAGACTCAGCTGAAATGCCACCCCCTCTAGTAAGCCTTCTGTAACTTTGCTTTTCGGTGCTTCTATTTGGATGAGTCATACTACTTTTATCAAACTTACCACCTGCTCATGTTATGTATCTCCATGTCTGTTTCCTTCTCTGTACATGAGCTCCCAAAGGGCAGAGTCTGTTCCTCTACCTCTTCCTAGAACCTAGCAGTTTCTAGTACATAACAGCTACTCAATGAGTGTGTGTTGAATAAGCACTAGCCTCCAATGAAGACTGAGCTTCATAAAATGGCAGACTCCACCTGTTGGGCTCGATGGGGACACAACAGACAGTAAAAGAAGCCTATGTGTCTGCTGAGCTGATGACCAAGCTGGTAACTAAATTCTCGACTAACCATGGAATCCTCACCTGCAAAATCATCTGCTTTTATGCCTTTGTGTTTCTTTTTCATTCTTCCTATCTATTTCTAGCAAAATGCTTTATGAAAGAATGCCTTTACATTCTTATGTAAAGAATGTCTGCCTTATGTCAGCTACAGTAACAGGAAAAGGAATTCATTAGCAACTGAGAGGAAGTGGTAAGCACAGTCCCCACTGGATAATCAGCACAGTTCTCACTGGATAATCAGGACAGGCAGAACAGGGAAGAGACAGGCCAAGAGCAAGGGAACAGGCAGCCATGCCTGAGGGTCCCAAACTAGCTACTGTGCTTGAAGGTTTTCCCACCTTGGCAAGCTGCAGCAGCACCCCACACTCGGCTGGGGTAAGCAGCCCATCCAACACTGCCCGCTCTGACCCGTTCAATTGCCTGGCGTCCTGGGTCAGGGTCACTCCCTCCAGGAGGAGAACATCTGCCAGAGAAGGAACATGGCAGAGGTGGCTGAGACTCCCTGAGAGCAGGCCCAGCAATAGCTGTTAGCCACCAGGCCCTCCTCCTTCCCCAGAACTCACCTTTCCAGTAGGTCAAGGGCTTTGGCTGAGGAGGCTCATGGTCCCAAGGCCTCTTCTCTTGATCCTCTCTCAGGGGTGAGAGATGTGCTCAGTGGATGCCCAGGACTGTACAGACCCAGACTCCCAGCTCGAGCTGAGTACCTCCCACCACAGGGCATCTCCTACCTTAGCTTTTCTCTAAGTGTCTCAGGGATGAGAGCTGCAGGGGTCCAGGGATCCTGTGACAATTAAGAGAAGCACTATCACCCACCAGGTCCAGCCCTTAGAATCCCTGACATTGAATTAAACCACATTAAGGTCCTCCTATTTCCAGAGGGGAAGGTGGTGGTACAAAAAGCCCTGGACTCAGTGTCAGAAGCCCTGGATACTAACTCTGTAACAACAATAACTTCCATAGCACTTCCTACTTGCCAGGTGCTAGCTAAGGGCTTTCTTTACACGTGGAAGTAGAATTTAGCATTTGAAGTTCACAGTAGGCTTATGAAACAAGTAACATTAATGTGTTCAATTTGCAATTGAGGGTCCTGAGGTGCAGAAAGGTAAGGTAACATGTTCAAGAGCACACAGCCAGTAAGTGACAGAGTGGAGTTTTAAACTAACTTCAGAGTTCTCACTTTTTTTTTTAATTAAATCATAGCTGTGTACATTAATGCAATCATGGGGTACAGTGTGCTGTTTTCATATACAATTTGAAATATTTTCATCAAACTGGTTAAAGAGTTCTCACTTTTCTTTTTTGAGACAGAGCCTCAAGCTGTCCCCCTGGGTAGAGTGCTGTGGCATCACAGCTCACAGCAACCTCCAACTCCTGGGTTCAAGCGAGTCTCCTGCCTCAGCCTCCCAAGTAGCTGGGACCACAGGCGCCTGCCACAACGCCTGGCTAGTTTTTGGTTGCAGCCATCATTGTTTGGCTGACTCGGGCTAGATTCAAATCCACCACCTTAGGTGTATGTGGCTGGCGCCTTAGCCACTTGAGCCACAGGCGCCGAGTCAAGAGTTCTCACTTTTAACCAGTGGTTCTCAACTAAAGAAATTTAACACACACACACCCCCAGGGGACATTAGGGAATGTCTAGAAACACGACTGATTGTCATGACTCAGGGGATGTCAGTATGGCATTGACCTCTATTGGGCAGAGACCAGGGATGCTGCTGAACATCCTACAATGTATAGGACAGCCCCTTCTCCCTCCCCCAAACAAAGAATTATCAGGTCCAAAGCATCAGTAGTGCCAAGAAAATGGAGCAACCCTCTTCATGCTACTGTACTAACTCTGGAAGACCTCTGCCTGTCAGTGTCCTCTCTTAGCTAGAAGAAGAGTGATAGGCCAGGCATAGTGGCTCATGCCTATAATCCTACCACTCTGGGAGGCGGGTAGATTGCCTGAGCTCACAGGTTCAAGACCAGCCTGAGTCAGAGCAAGACCTTGTCTCTAAAAATAGCCGGGTGTTGTGGTGGGTGCCTGTAGTCCCAGCTACTTAGGAGGCTGAGACAAGAGAATTGCTTGAGCCCAGGAGTTAGAGCAGGCATCCTCAAACTATGGCCTGCAGGCCACATGCAGCCCACCTAGGACATTTATCCGGCCCGCCAGGTGTTTTTGCCACTGCTGCCTGTCTGCTTAGTAGCCGACTGGTCTCAGGGCCTGCAGTCTGGCTCTCTAATGGTCTGAGGGACAATGAACTGGCCCCCTATTTAAAAAGTTTGAGGATCCCTGAGTTAGAGGTTGCTGGAAGCTATAAGGCCAAGGCATACTACCTAGGGCAACAAAATGAGACTATGTCTCAAAAAAAAAAAAAAGAAGAAGAAGAAGAAGAAAAAGAAGAAGAGTGACAGAAGCAGTAGTCACAGAGCTTTCTGTGCTTTATGTCAAATGATATGACTTCAACAGCTCTGTAGGGCGGCACCTATGGCTCAAAGGAGTAGGACGCTGGCCCCATATGCCAGAGGTGGCAAATTCAAACCCAGCCCTGGCCAAAAACTGCAAAAAACCCCCAGCTCTGTAAAATGGTGTGTTTATTCCAATTCAAAGGCAAGGAAATTGGATGGCACTGTGGCTCAGTGAGTAGGGCACCAGCCCCATATACCGAGGGTGGTGGGTTCAAACCCAGCCCCAGCCAAATTACAACAAAAAAATAGCTGGGCATTGTGGCAGGCACCTGTGGTCCCAGCTACTCGGGAGGCTGAGGCAAGAGAATCGCCTAAGCCCAGGAGCTGGAGGTTGCTGTGAGCTGTGACACCATGGCATTCTACCAAGGGCAACAAAGTGAGACTCTGTCTCTAAAAAAAAAAAAAAAAAAAAAAAGGCAAGGAAATTGAGGCAGAGGCAAGTTGAGATCCAGCACTTGTTCAGGGCAGAGGAGGGATAGACACTTAGCCCTGCATGACCCCAAAGCCACCCTCAGCTATAAGCACACAGCCTCCATCCCTGTAAAACTGGGAGGGGAGATTCAAGTAGAAAAATGGGAAACTGTTACAAACCTAAGCGACATATCAGTATGGGACACTGCTGTTACCTCCTTCCTGGGAGCACTGAGGGTAGGATGGGGGAAGAGTGAGGTACTCACAGGATCTGTGAAGTTGATCCCCAGGTGCTCCATAGCATAGTAGAGCTGCCTCTTCTCCCCTAGGGACCGAAGGAAGAAGTGCTGGATGTCCTGAGGGGGTGAGACAAGGAGCATGTAAGTGGGGCAGGGAGGTCAAGGCTGGAGGAGAGCAGGGCGGCCCAGGCTCTACGCACTGCCTGCAAACCTCTTGAACCCAGCCAGCAGTGTGCCTCCTGGTTCCTCAGTTCAACTCTCTTCCCTCAGCAGCTACAGATAATGGGCACTCAAACCGGGGATGGGAGTGGGAGTGTGTGTGCATGTGTGTGCCCATGAGTAGAAGGTAGGAGCAGGCAGGAGTGAGGTAAAGGAAAGAGAGCTGGGGCTGGGGTTCAGATTCAGAAGTATAGTCTGATGTGCAGACCAGGGATTGAGACTGAAGTCAGGAGCTGGACTTGGGGTTCCCTTTGGTGACTGGAATGCTTGGGTAAAAGGCCAGAATGGGGGGCAGGGGTCTTGTTTCTCAGGTATATTTGTTTGATTTACAGCCACCTTGAGGGGCAAGGTTGGAGAGGGGAGTTACCTCTCTTGGCCCGAGGCCAGGTCTTGGCTCTCCTATCTGGGCCTGGTACTTGTTCAGAGCACTCTTGGCAGCCTCATCCTCCGGATAGAAGAGCAGGACACTCAAGACATTTTCCACAGCCTGGGATAGATTGCCAACTGGAAAGGGAGTAATAGAGTGGTATGGAGGACAGAGACTGAGAATACAACAGTCTGCAGAGGCAGTGCTGGACAAGGTGGTCTCCCAAGGCCAACCAACCAACTCCAAGAGCCCCATCCCCTTGGCAGACATGCACAGCTGCTGCTTTTTTCAAAAGCTGAAGCAAACATACCTCAGCTGAAGAGTTCAAAGACGAGTTCAAAGAAGAGGAAGAAAGGTGAAAATAAAGGAAGGTGAGAAATAATAAGGCAGAAGGGGCCCAAGACCCATCTCCTAAGCTTTCACAGGTACCAAGGAGAGCAAACTAGAGCCCTCACTTCCTGAAGTGACAGTCCCCATGGAACCCTGACAGTGACACTATTGGTCCAGAGACAGATAGGAAGGACAGAGAGATGAAGCTCAGGATGCCATCAGAGACAAACCCCCTATTTCCAGCCACAAGCACTCACAGGATCCCACTTCCCCAACTCACCCTGAGCATAGGTTTCATGCAGCCACCTCAGCTGGCTGGGAAGAAAATCAGGGACAGGGAAGCTTCGACCAGGACGTGTGGCTGTTTCTCCCACGCAGCGCTGCCGGCACTGTAGGACCCGAATCCAATGTCCTGTGGAGGACACACACAAGCTATTTAGCTTGTGTATGCTCCCCTATCCCCCCTTTACCAGTGCCCCCTTCAACTCCCAGCTGCTTACCTGCAATGGCCTCATAGAGGCCCCCTTGGCTCCCAGCCCCTTCCTCCTCCTCTCCTGCCCCTTGCTGCTCCTCAGGGCCCTCACAGCCTGCCCGGCAACTCTCCATCTGAGCCAGGCTCCCCTGCAGGGCCTCCTCTAGCCTAGGCAGTGCCAGTCCTGCTTCCTGGCGCCTCAGTAGCTCCAAGCCAGTGTCATAGGCTGCCTGTTAGGGAGAGGAGTAGTCCATCACCTGAGATCTGGGGAGAGGGGCAAATAAGAGTGGGAGGTAGAAAGAAGGAGAGGGGTGTTGGTCTCATTTGGGGCATCGATCTCATTTCACCTTGGGGACAAACAGGGGTGGGCCTCAAGAATCTGAGACTTTAGTGATCATCTAGGAAGGAAACTAAGTCCCAGAAATGGACTCCCTACCGAGGGTCAGATCTCCAGATGCACACACTGTATAGGATCATAGTTCAGTGAGAGCTGTGGTATCTCCCCAGCCAACCAAAGGCTGAGGGCAAGACAGGGGTGGTGCTTAGGGTCTTACCCAGTGTGGAGGAGTCTCCAGGTCTCGGAAGCTCTGGGGCTGGACCCCAGACATTCGTCTGTACTTAGCCATGTCCTCCCGCATCTGCAGGTGTGTTGGGTTTGCTACAAAGAAGGTGTGTGCTGCAGCTGCCGCCAGGTCCAGCTTCTTCAGCTGAGGAGGAGGAGGGATGACCAGAGCTCTGAGGTGGGACTGTTAGACTTCTGTCCCCTCCAGCTTCCCTGCACCAGACATACACTCCTGGGCTGCCCAAGAGCCTATGGAAGACTGGTTAATCAGAACTGTGCCTTCTCAGGTTTTCATGGCCCACTTCCCAACCTGCAGAAAATGGAATGTTGAGACTCTCAGGAGTCTGGCATGGAAGGAAGGGGGTCTGAAGACTTCAGACTGGGTGGGACATGGGCCTCAGGGCCTCTGTTCCGGAGACTAGGTGGAAGTGACCTCTAAGTGAGGAGGGCAAGTGAGGACCTCAGCGACCAGCAAAACCGGTAGATCTCTAGGTCCCTGGGCTGAGGTGTGTGGTGGCGCCCCCTCCCGAGCCATGTAGGCAAAAGAGCAGCAGGGGAGGGGAGCTTGGTGCACTGGCATCTCAAGGGCCCTCAGCCTTGCCTCCTTCTGCTCTTTCCTTTCCAAAGCTCTCTCCTGCCCCGCACTCTTCCGGTCCCCACCCCACCACTTCATTCCTAGGAGGAGATGACGCTTACCTCCACGTAGGTCTCAATAAGACCTACTGAAGTAAAATTGCAGGCCCCTTCCCTCCATCTGCGATCTACTCCCACCTCACCCCATTCCAACTTTGCTCCTACTCTCCCTCGGCCAGCCCTCTTCTATCTCAACAGGTCCCAGCGGTCGTTACGGCAGCACCCTTCAATGCAGAGCCCCGCGGTACGCCCCACGGCCCCCGTCCGATTCCAGGAGCTAGTATTCCGCCCTCTCTGGTCAGCTCACAGTGGGACAGCACCATGAGGGACGGGGGAGCATCCTCGCCGCGGCCCGGCCGGCTCCGCACCTTGTAGTAGGCCCCTTGAAGGTAGTTGTAGGGCTCTCGACGGCGGAAGGCGTCCCGGAGCGCGCTCCCCACGCGAAGTCGCGCCGCGCCCCCGGGGCCTAGCCTCCGCGCGGCGCACTGGGTCAGGCACTCAGCGCGGCGGAGGGCGGCGCGGAGGAGCAGCCGCTCCCAGGACCCCTGGGCCGGTCCCGGCCCCAAGTCGGGGCTCGTGGCGCCTAGCAGCACGAAGGGAAGCGCGGCGCCAGGCTCGGCCGCACAGCTAGCCCCGCAGTCCCGCCGCGCGCGGCCCAGCTCCGCCCAGCTTCGCAGCGCCTCCCGCAGCAGCGCCACGGCGGGCGCCCAGGCACCGGCCGAGTAGGCGCGCAGCCCGTCGGCATAGAGCAAGTCGGGGGCCTGCGGCGGCGCTCCCGGGAACACCGGGGCCAGGCCGGGGGGCTCAGGGGACCCAGGGGGAGGCAGCAGCAGCAGCAGCAACAGCAGCCTTAGGAGCCAGAGCATGGTGCCAGAGTGGCCGGCTGGCTGCCGAAAGGAAATGCGGGAACAGAGAGGGAGGGAGAAGCGGGGACGAAGAGGGAGGGGAAAATAGGAGAGATGGAGAGGCGGAAGGAGAGCAAGCGAGCAGGAATGAGGAATGCTGAAGAAAGCTCCTCCAATGTGACAGATGGGGAGAGAAGCCAGAGGGAGCCGAGTACTGAGTGGAGATAGCCATCTTTAAGACAGGGGGACTAGTGTGGGTTGAGAAAGGGAAACTGGGGAGGAGGAGGGCAAAAAGTGGAAACAGGAGCAGGTCTGGAGTGGCTCCAGCCCCTGAGGCCTATGGTGATGGGGGAAACTACTGGACTGTGTTCTCCTCCACTCTTGGGTCCAAGATAAGTAGTGTGGACGCCTCCCACACACCCTTAACCATAAGTACACACCTTTGGAGAAGGAGCTTTAGAATCAGAGTGAAGGAGGGTAACTCCAGGCCTGGGTCACTAAGTCAGCCCCAAACTCTTTGCTGACTAGAAAGTGAGTGCTTGGATAGATTTGGGGTTAGGAAGAGAGTTGGGGGGCAGTGTGGATAGACACAAGCTCTCTCTAAACTGCCTCTACAAATCTGAGCAAAGATCCTTTCCACCCCAAACCAACAAACTCCACTGTGTCCCTATGTCATCGCCCCCAGTTCAATATGCACCTCTCTACAGTTTCTATACATGTATTTACGTTAAAGGGTGTATGATCATTTCTCCCTATGTCTTTCTCTGCCTCTTCCTGCTGCCCTGCTCTAGTCTTTCTCTAGGAGCTACTCTTCCCCTTAAGTCTCTGATGGTACACTTTGCCATCACAGTACACGGGACGCTGAGGTTTCCATGGCAACAGTTCAGACTTTAATACATTTTGCTAGGGATGATGGCAGGTGAGTAGGGCATCTGGTCACTTGGAGGGAGACAGCAGGGGCTCTAGAGCCCCAGATCCAGTGTCCATCTCCCCAGAGTCTGGAGACAGCTGTTCAAACTCAGGGCCAGGATGAGATGTTGGTCACTCAGGCCCTCACCTCTGAGTCCACCAGGCCCACTCGGGCTTAGAGGGTCAGCTGAGGGAATATGGGGTTGCTTGGGCCCCAGGATCCTCCCCAAGCCCTTGTACTCCCCTCACTCCCAGTCAGGGAGCAGCGTCTCCCTGTACTTAGCCCCAAAGGAAGTCCAACAGCTCTGTTATCAGGGGACCCAAGGGACAGTCGTCGGGGTGAGAGTCCCAGTGGCCTAGGCCAACGAGGAGAGGGCCCTGGTGAGGCAGTTGGAGAAGGCAAAGGTGTCTCATCAATGAAAGTGGTGATCTCCTCCCGAAAGAAACCAGGACCCCGTGGGGGTCCCCCACCTGATCCAAGTACCCCACTCTCTAGGAATTGGCGAAGGCTGGCCAGCCCCCCACCTTCAGCCTCATCCTCATCCTCCTCGTCCTGCAGCCTTTGTCTCTGTCCCAGGTACTCAGAAGGAGCCCCAAGGGCCCGGCTCTGGATTGGGAGGACCCGGATGTCATCAGAGGATGACCACTTGTGCAGGAAGGAGCCTGGTGTCCGAGGGGTAGAGAAGATGTTGGTCTCATCATGGGATAGACGGCGGGACAGAGGGACCTGGGAAGAGGAACAGGTAACACTTGGAGGTGCTATAGGGACAAAGGAAGCAGCGGCAGGAACCAACTTGGGGATTGTGGAAGACAACTTCATCCTCTCAACCTTCTTCAGAACGGTTGTTCCAAAGGACGAACTTGGCCTCAGGAGGTCTGCAGGGGACTGTCTTGTACCATGCCTTTCTTTCACCCACCCCTCATGGTGCCTTGCAGGCCAGGGCTAGGGAAGACACTGGAGAAGAGTGGAATGGGGTGTCAAGGATAGGAGGTATATTCCCCAGTCCCATACCTGTAAGTAGTGGACTCTCTCAAGAGGGGGAAAGAGCATGTGCCTTCCAGGCAGCAGCTTCACCTGGGTGGGATCCCGGCCCCCTGGGCCTGTGGCCCCATTAGCATCAAAGCGAACTTTGCACACTCGGCCATCTGCATAGTCATCACAGCCCTCATCTAGAAGAGAAAAGGGACAAAGTGGTTACAGGTAGGGAATGCCTAGCCCCCTCCCCAGCCCTTTTATAAGTTCCAAGAGACCCCTTAGGTTCCCATTAATCTGTAGGCTCCAAGAGGATAGTGAGAGTGACTAGCATTTGCTGGTCAGTGCTGAATCCCTAGCGCTTCACAAGTATAAATGAATTATTATTATTATTATTTTAATTTTTTTTTTTTTTTTTTTTTTTGAGACAGAGCCTCAAGCTGTCGCCCTGGGTAGAGTGCTGCGGCATCACTCACAGCAATCTCCAACTCCTGGGCTCAAGCGAGTCTCCTGCCTCAGCCTCCCAAGTAGCTGGGACCACAGGTGCCCGCCACAAAGCTTGGCTATTTTTTCGGTTGCAGCCATCATTGTTGTTTGGCGGGCCAGGGCTGGATTCGAACCTGCCACCTTAGGGGTATGTGGCTGGCGCGTTAGTCACTTGAGCCACAGGCGCCAAGCCATTATTATTATTTTTTGAGACAGTGTCATACTTTGTCACCCTTCGTAGAGTGACATGGCATCATAGCTCACAGCAACCTCAAACTCTTGGGCTCAAGTGAATCTCTTGCCTCAGCTTCCCAAGTAACTGGGACTACAGGTGCCCACCACAATGCCCAGCTATTTTTAGAGACAGGGTTCTTGCTCTGACTCACGTTGGTCTTGAACCTGTGAGTTCAGGCAATCCACCCCCCTCGGCCTCCCAGAGTGCTAGGATTACAGGCGTGAGCCACCACGCCCAGCCTAAATGAATTTATTGAAAAAATTACCTGCCCTCCCCCAAGAACTATCCCTATAGCTGATGTCTCAGGAAGCCCAGCTTCCCCTTAGTGCCACAGCCTTCCTTACGGTTGTGTTAGGACTCAGGAACAGTCCTAACAGTCTGGAGGGGGCCAGAGCTGGGCAGACTGGGCTTCCGGAGTGGGCCGCCGGGCGCCTGCATAGGGAAATGGGTGCAGGGTGGTGCGGGCTCTGGCCAGCAGGGGGCACTCCAGGGCAGCCCATCCTCTCGCAGAGAAAGAGCGGTGGAAAGGGTTAGAACAGGGAATAGATGTCCTGGAAAGTGAAAGCCCAGTCCCTCCTCTGACCGTCATCGCCATCCTCCTCGGACATTATGGCCACGCACTGCTCCCACACTGTGCGCACGTCGGCACGGTAGCGCTCGCAGGACCAGATGAAGGAGGGCAGCAGCAGCGTCTGTGCCATGGAGCACCACAGCACAGCCAGCACCATCCATGGAGGCGCTGAGTCCGACTTGAGGGAGAAGAAGCTCACCACCTGGTGGAGGATGGGAATGAGCCCAGTCAGGGCCCAGATACCTAGAGCAATTGGTGGGCCAGAAGTCTGGAAGGGATGTATGACCCACATGATTGGGACAGAGGCAAAGTGGGAGATGGAGATGGGCTGAGCAGAGGGAAGGGACTGACTCAAGCTCAGGAGAGTGTGTTGGGCACAAAGACCAGAAGTCCAGAGGGATAGGAAAAGAGGTGCAGCAGGAAACTTGAAGGCAGAGAGAAACTCAGGAATAGGAACTAGATAGGGTGAGCCAGGTGGGGTTTCCACCCAAGAGTGCTCAGGAACCATGGAATCTCCAGAGGGAATGAGGGGGTGAATGGGGTGAATGAGGGAGGGAATGAGGAGCTCGGCTTCTGGAGGATAGGTCTGGGAAGCTACAGGATGGATGAGGGCACTGGAGGACAGGTAGTAGCACTTAAGGGTGATGATGGAGCTGGGGGAGATGGGCTAGTGGGGGCCTAGAGGATGGATCACAGAGATGGGGGCTCACAAATGGAGTAAGGGCCAGGTAGAGAGAGGAAGATGGATGATGGTACTGGAGGAGAGATGATGGAGCTGTTGTATGATTGGTGTGGGAGGTCAGGTGATGATGCTGGAGGCTAGATATTAGGGAGAACAGGTGGGGGGAACCCTGATCTCACCAAGATGGGCACCCCTGTGAGCGAGTCATAGAGAAAGACGATGGCGCTGACCAAGTTGGTGACCTGCAGGGATGTCTTGGCAGACTCGGAGCCATCCAGTGAGGACCGCCGCTTCCCTCTGGCATCCTCTACCACAATGGCTGGCACCTCAAAAGCTGGCCGGGTACCCAACCCCCCTGGCCCACTTCCCTTGGTCCCCCCAAGTCCCCCCGCTCTCCGGGCCTGCCGAGCCCTCCTGGGCCGGGCCCACAGTGTCTGGTAGAAGGTGATGGCTACACAGACTAGGCCCATGACGATGCCCCCAAGTAGCAAGAGGCTGAAACAGACGCCAAAGCCGAGGCCAATCTTGGAGACTATGAACTGGCAGCCTCGGGCATAGTAGCGCTCGCCATTGTTGTGCCAGCCAATGGAGGGCAGTGTGGAGAGGATGAAGCTGACCATCCAGATGCCCATAACAGCATGCAGTGCCTGCTTTTTGGCATTGCTTAGGCGGTAGTTGACTGGCCAGCGCACCATCCACATGCGGTGGTAGGACAGTGAGGCAACTGTGAAGCAGGTCGCCAGGGCCAGCGTGTAGTAGGTGGACACAAAGACCTTGCAGATGCTCTCATTCCAGTCATAGTCGGAGGAAGCCTGCCGCCGTAGCTGCACCACCGCAAAGGTGGTGAGGGGGACTGCCGCCATGAGTATGTGAGTGCCCGCCAGGAAGCAGAGCAGCAACTCCAGTGGCTTGTGCTTCTGCTGCTTGGCTGAGATACTGAGGATGATCCAGGCATTGGCCAGCAGTGCCAAGAGCCCACAGGCCAGCCAGGACAAGGCATTGGAGCGCAGGGAGGCCTCCTCTGCCCCTAGCCCACCCCGAGCCATCCTATCCTCAGCCCCCCACCCCCCTTAAAACCCTGGGGGCGGGGGCTAGGTATCACCCGGGAGCCCCACTCACACACAAGCCCATGGTGCCCACAGTCCTTGCCCTGCAGAGAGGCAGACTGCTCCCAGGACCACCCTGCTGCTCAGCATTGCATGATCAACCCCACTGGGGGCAGAGGTGGAAAGCAGGGGAACAGACTAAGGGTCAGCAGAGGCAGTCCTCCCTCTTCATAGTGAGTGGGGCTTTTCTTAAGTAACCTCCCCCAACTGATGACAGAAGCAAGCTGGCTGCCTTCCCAACTATGAGGCTAGTTGGGGGTTCTGGCTCCTGTGCTGGGACTTCCAGGTCTCTTTTTCCTCTGGTTCTTGACCAGTCAGGAATCTTCTGCATGCCCCAGGGATTTGGAGGTGGTGCTCAGCCCTTTGGACCAGCTGTAAGGGAAGGATGAGATATGGCAGGAGGAGAGCAAAGGTAGAGCCTAGCTGGTCTCCAGCTGGCTTCTTGTGACCCTTCTCTTGAAACTACAGAAATGACTGATTACTAGGGTCCCTTGAGTCAGATGGACAAACACCTCACACAGGTAAAAGCTCCTGCTCTTTCCATACCTCCAGGAAAGAGGTATCTGTAACTCCCTGTCTTTTAGCCCTTTTTCCTCCCTCTGGAACTTCCAGGTTCCTCTTTAGATATCCCCTGCTCAGTACTACTCTACTCCAATCTTCATGTCTCTAAATGTCTCTTCAGAGCTACTGATATAAGACTCATGACTTGTTTCTTCTTAAGGGGGTATGGTATTACAGCCCCCACCCCTACCTGCAGGTTCCCTGGATCCAGCAGTCTTGGAGCTCAGCTCCATCCCCCAAGCCTGCTCAGATCTGGGAAAATGGGAGAAAGGAGGCTGGGACTGGGGGGGGGGGGGGGGGGGGGGGTTGGCTAGGGAATCTGAAGGCGGGGAAACCGCTTACATCAGAAACATCCAGAAATGGAAAGAGGGGGAATTAGGGAGAAGGAGGAGAGTTTGAGCAGAAGAGAAAGAGGGGGCAAAGTGATAGTATCTGAAAATAGAAGGAAAAGCTCAGAACCCCCTGGAGAGGATGCTTTGGAGGGAGGAGGGATTGGAGGGGGTAGGGAGCAGGGAATAGTGAGGCCAAGGAGAAAAGGCAAATGTTCACTAGGGTGTGACTTCCACCGAAAGACCTTGATTCTTTCCTTGTCTGGCCCAGAGCCTCAGTTTCCCTCAGATGGAAAAGAGGATAGTCCTGATTTTAGTGATGCTGAGCCCAGGGAGGGGGATAAGAGGAAATCTTACAAACCTTGAACAGAGTGGATGTTGTAAGGAGGGACATAATGGCTTTAGGATAAATTGGGTAAAGATGGGACACCACATGGAGATGGGCTATTTCGCTTGGAAGAACCTCAGACCCTTGCCTTCCCCTTAGGTCCTAGTCCACCCCCACTTTTGTCTTCCCTCCAGAGCCCAATGCACCCTAGTTGCCATGGCAATGGCTAGCCAGAGGGAGGTAGAGGGAACTGGTCAGAAGCACACCCCCCACTACTCTCCCCTGCAGCCTTGGACCCCTCCCAAACCACCTCCACCCAGGCCCAGCTGGTGGGCTGAGGAAGAAAGAGATGGAGAGTCAGAAAGAGGGAGGGAGGCAGGAAGGATGTGAAGGACGGAGAGAAGGAGGTGAAGGACAGAGGGGGATCAGAGGAAGGTAGGCGGGGGACTACCGGGCCTCCCTGACCAACAGGGTCCTTCGCCCTTCGGGGTGAAGGGGTAAGGTCAGGAGGTTCCTCTCGTGTCCCTGCTGGGTTCTCCAGGGCAGAAACAGCAGGTGGCTGGGGAGGAGGGGCCGGACGGCGGGCGGGGAGAGGAAGCAACTAGGGGGAAGAGGGGAGGAGACGCGGCGGACTGGGCAGGGGTCGTCTTACCTCTGGCCGTGTCCAGCACTGCCATGGAGACCGCACTCCGGACGCGGCTCTCTAGGGCTCCCGCCGCCGGCGGCTCCGGCTAGCCCGCCCTCCTCCCTCCCGCTCCCTCCGGGCCTCCCTCCTCCCACGCAGCCCCGGCCTCCGGCTCCGCCCGGCTCACTCAGTTTATATCCTTCTCGATTGTCCGAGCCTCAGTCTCTCGGGCTCATCCTGCCTGCGAGCCGGGGTTGGGGGGACTGAAGGACAGCTTTGAGGGGGTGGGGGGAGGACAAGTGTAGGGCGGGGAACTGGACGGTGGTGACTTGTAGGGGGAGGGGCAAGGAAGGCGCCGAAAGGGAGGGGAGGAGGAGGATGGCGAGGAACCCGCTTCATTGGTGAAATTGCTCGTGTCCTGCCCCCACCCCATCCCGTTTTTCAACACGAACACAAGCTCCAAGAGGCAGCTGGTGTTGCTGGGTACGGAGGAGCTAGCTGTCGGGGAGGAGAGAGCTGTGTCACTGTGCTGTCTGTGTAAGGGCTGTGCCTTGAGTGTAGCTTTCGGGACCACTGCTAGACACTGCCGGGCGTGAGGGGCTGCTAGTGGAATTCTGATTGGGGTGCAGGGACCTAAAAGGATGGGGTGCATGTGCCAGCACACACACACACTCCTGGAACACAAACACACTTATGTCGGAGATTCACACAATCTGCATAGGTTTATGAACGAAAATAAAACCTTAAGCTCCTTCCCCTCCAGCAGCTGACTGATTGGACCCTGTCTTGGCCTAGGGGATCCCCTAAAACTTAGTTGCTAGCCATGAGAAAGGAGATCAAACAATGCCTCATCAAGTCCCCCTGCCTTCTTAGAGATGGCCATTAATGATGACTTATTAATAGGCTTAAGGGTCTATAAGACATACTTCCAGGTGCTCAGTATACACAACAAACCACTTCGGTCCCAGCATGTGTCCTGTAGTTTGTCTCTGATTAACAGGCTCATCTTAAACATTACTTTTCGGTGACTCCTGGTCTGTTAACACAGCCTCTTTCAGCCAATTGTCAGCTAAATAAAGAATCTTTAGGGCGGCGCCTGCGGCTCAGTGAGTAGGGCGCAGTCCCCATATGAGGAGGGTGGCGGGTTCAAACCTGGACCCACCGAACTGCAACAAAAAAAATAGCCGGGCGTTGTGACAGGAGTTGGAGGTTGCTGTGAGCTGTGTGACACCACACTCTACCGAGGGCGATAAAGTGAAACTCTGTCTCTACCAAAAAAATGAAAAAATAAAAGAATCTTTAACCCCACCTATAACCTGTAAGCACCGCCCCCTTGAGATGACTTCTTCAGGCCAAACCAATGTTTGCCTTCCATATATTGATTTATGACTGTACTTGTAGTTCTTGCCCCCCTGAAATGTATAAAACCAAACTGTCGCCCCACAATAACAAGTCCACTTGCTCAAGACTTCTTAGACACGGCTCCGGGTTGTGGTCCTTAAATTTGGCTTAGAATAAATTTCTTTCAATTATTTTACAGAGTATAGCTGCTTTTCTGTTGGCACATTACACGGTTTCTCATAGTCCTTTATCCCCACCGCACGTGCACACACGCACACACACCAGGGGAGCACACCTACAGTGTCCCCCTTTGGGTACATTACATAGTGTAATTATAAAGTTTTAGCCTCACACTCATAGAGGCACACACGGAGCCCTTTGGGTGTATAGGGCCTCCAGGGAAGTTTTCCCTCCCCAGAGAAACTTCATCTTCCTGGGACAAGCCTCACAACCCCTCTTTTGGATTCAACCCCAAAGACCAAACGATTCTGGCCCTCAGAGAAGTTTCCACACTTCTCTCTCTCTTTCTCACACACACACACACACACAAATGAAGAGCATCCTCTTCCTTTTTTTTTTCTTTTGAAACAGAATCTCTGTTGCCCTGGGTGCCACCATAGTGTCAGCCTAGCCCACAGCAACCTCAAACTTTCTTGGGTGCAAATGATCCACCTGCCTCAGCCTCTTGAGTAGCTGGGACTACAAGGGAGGGGATGTGATGCGTATGCTCTGTCTGGTCTCTGAACTCCTGAGAGCATCCTCTTTTTCTTTTTCTTTTCTTTCTTTTTTGAGACGGAGCCTCAAGCTGTGGCCCTGGGTAGAGTGCCGTAGTCTCACAGCTCACAGCAACCTCCAACTCCTGGGCTAAAGCAATTCTCCTGCTTCAGCCTCCCAAGTAGCTGGGACTACAGGCGCCTGCCACAATGCCTGGTTATTTATTTATTTATTTATTTGGTTGCAGCGGTCATTGTTGTTTGGCGGGCCCGGGCTGGATTCAAACCCGCCAGCTCAGGTGTATGTGGCTGGCACCTTAGACGCTTGAGCCACAGGTACCAAGCCACAGGTACCAAGCTGAGAGGATCCTCTTTACAATAAGTTTATTGTATCTTTCCTTCAGCTCAGGGAAGCAGGGATATAGAGTGGTCAGAAATGCAAAGTGAGCAATGGGGAGCCCTTAAAGCATTATTTGGTGGTTTTTCTAGAAGAGGAATGCTGAGAAGAAAAGGGGAGAAAGGAAAAGGGAAAAGGAGTTGGGACTGAGGGAGGTGGAAGGGAAGGGAAAAAGAGGCTGAGGAGTCTGAGAGAATGCATAAAGAGAGGAGGAAGACAATGACTTGTAACCCTGATTGCCCTGTGTTCCTAATGGTTTGGAGGAAAGTCCAGGCCTGGGGCACCTGTGAAGGCCCAGCCATCACAGTTCACGGGGATCCCTCAGAGGGTTCACTTTTAGGCTAGCTCTCGGCCTCCTCTGGCAAAGTCCAAGTCACTTCTGTACAGGGTGAATGGCTGGTCACTGGGCATTCTCTCCCAGAGTGCCTCTACTCTCAGCCTGTGCTCTGATTGGGAAAACTGAGAGCTTTGTACTCTGGTAACAGGATTTTGCCACCAGCAAGTGATGAAAGCAATTTTAGACAGGCAGGCCTTCTTCCATGCTCAGGAGCTCTTTGACATAGGCTCTCCCTGTGGCTGGGATGCTCCTGTGAATCCAAAGGTGCACACTGGGTACCTGTGATGAGCCACTGAAGAGATCTGAGTGGTATTTGCCCCTGCACGCAAGAGGCAGCAGTGGATCTAGGGGCTGAGAGACTTGGCTGGTTCTGACTCCGGCACCTGCTAGCTATGTGACCTTGAATAAGTGGTCATGTAGCCTCTCAGAGCTCCATTTCTGGCTTTTAGACTGCAGATGATAATCTTGGTCTGTCACTTCTAGGCTTGTAGGGTTTTTGCAAGTGTCAAATAGACAGAAAATAGGAAACTGGTTTCTATACTGTTTGGATGATAAGGAATTGTGTCTGGACAAGAGTGTGGCTGTGTTCATGGGGGTGTATTCAGTGGACCTGTTTGTGCAAGACTCAGGATATGAGTCCGTGGCTCTGCCAACTCAGGCTGAGAAGCAGGCAGCATGGGGCAGTGGGGCCTGGCAGTCAAGAGGAGCCTTCAGATCTGTTGGTCACAGAGTCCTCTCCTGTAAAATGACAGTAGTTCCATGTTTCCAGACACTTCACCTCATCCTCCATGTCAGGCGGGGCTGGCCCTGCACACTCCTCTGGGATCCAAGTGGGTAGTCAAAGAGAAATAATCAGAGAAGGGCTAGGGCTTGGACAAAAAGGAAATGGGGGAAGGAATGGTATGATTAAGTCTCTGGAAAATTGAGAGCAAGATTCAGCCAGTGAGGTTGGGGCCTCACCCAGGGATTGGCAATAGAAGAGGAAAAACAAGGGCAAATTGTAGAGGAAGGGAGCAGGAGGCCAGAGGCTTGGGATCTGCTACATTCATCTGGTCCACAGGCCCCAAGCCCAGCAGGAAACGCGGGCAGACAGCTGGGGAGACTGCTGAGTGGGCAGCGCCTCTGGCCCTGGGCCTCAAATGAGGTTATGTGTCTTCTGGAACCGGCTGGAGGAACAAAGAATAAGGGGAGCAAATCCAACCCACTGCAACTCCTGTGTGTATCAAGACCTCTGTGGCTTTTCCTTGCCAATGTAGTACTAGCCTCTGAGCCGCAGCTGCACCACCCTCCACCACCCTCCACCACACACCTCCCTGCTGCTCCTTCCCCTCTGTCCACCCCCTTCTGCATCCTTCCTTGCTCCTGGCCATCTCCTTTTACTCCTCTTCTCTGCACCTGCTCCTTTAGCCCCATCCCCTTACCTCCACCTCCTCCCTCTTCACCCCTCCTCTCTCTTATCTACTCCTTCCTCCTCTCCTCCTCTCTCTTGCTCCCTTTCCTCTCCTTCCTCCATCCCCTCTTCCATTCCTCCCTCCCTTCCCCACTCCCGTTTTCCACCCTATACACCCTGATACTTACTGGACACACTGGCAGGTCTTCTTCTCACTTAGGAGTCTCTTGATCTGAGACTTCCGCTCTGTCTGGCGCTGTCCAGGGACAAGGAGGGGAGTCATGAGGGTCCTAGGCCTCCATAAGGGAGGTGCCCCTTGGAGGGGGAAGGGAGGGGAGCTGGGAGAGGAGAAGCAGTTACTGTGGCTGAGGCCATCTGCCCTGGAATGAGCTCTCTGCTCCTTCCTGTCTCTCCCTCTGCATGGGTTCCGGATAGAGCCACAGAGCACTTGGGGTGGACAGAGGGCACTGGACCAGAAGCAGTCCCCACATATAGGATTTCCTGGTATAGCATCAGATGCTTGAGGGCCCCATGGGGTCTGGGTGGTGGGGTCCGGGCAGGCTCACTCACCCTTCGGTGCCTGACACAGCACACACAGAAGATGCCGAGGAAGCCAATGAAAAGCAGGCCTGCAGTGCCCCCAAGCACTATTGGGAGTATTGACTGGATCTGGGGGAACTGTGAAGGCAAAACTGCAAGAGAGAGAGGGGTGCTTGGCACACTGCCCTCCGTCAGGGGCACAGGACCTGCTGGAGGGGCAGAGGATGGCTCCGCTGCCTGGCCAGACTGGGGCCTGATCCTGGGGCTGGGAGAGGGAGGCTACATGGGGCTCTCAAAGGCCACCAGGGCTTGAGGGGGCAGAACTGGTGGAAGGAGTTTTTGTGTTTTAGAGACTACAGTGCACTCTGGAGAGCTAGAAGCAGTGGTCCAGATTCCAGTCCCTGACCCTGTGTGTGTGTGCATGTTTGTGTGTGTGAGTGCATGTGTATGTGAGACTGAGTTCAGAGAGAAGCCAGCGAGGGGGCCCTTGGTCAACTGAACCTTATGCCTTGACTGTAGATCTTAAGGAGGTGGGGACTTGCAGGACTGCAAACAGGAGCCTGGAGCCCAGAACCATGGCTCACCTCACCTTTTCATGTCTGCATCTCCACACCTCTATAACCCCTCCATCTCAGAGGGCTTGGGATGCTTGGACTCTGGATGGTTTCTACCATGGGAAGGTCCCATAGCTGAGGAGGCAGAGGCTTGGGGTTAGGCCATAGAACCTGGATTCTTACCCTCCTCCTTGGATTCCAGTAGGACCTGGTCTCCGTCACTCAGTAGACATTGCCACATCCCTGCCTCAGGGGCTGGCACCCACACAGCCTTGTCCTTCTTTGAGACCTTTGGGTTCTGGTTCTCTTGCTTCAAGCTCAGTATCATCTCAGGGGAGGTAGGTCCCAGCACCTCACAGGTCAAATTGTTATGAAGCTGAGTCACTACAGAGGAATGAGAGACGAAGACTGGGACCTTAGGCCTCTGGGTTCCCCACACCCTTAAGCTCTCAATCAAAATGATACTCTAGGCTTGGCGCCTGTGGCTCAAGCGGCTAAGGCGCCAGCCACATACACCTAAGGTGGCGGGTTCAAATCCAGCCCGGGCCCACCAAACAACAATGAC